ACACATGCTTTTATACGACATAGAGAGCAAAAGAGAACAGCAAACATATTGAGAAGCAATGATAACACACATAGAGTCCGTTAATAGAATAGACGGCGGGAAAGGGAGATATGATGATGTAGCGGTCATCACATTTATAAGCGGACAAAAGGTCAGACGACGCGTCTGGTTAGGGGTTGCTTCAATTATCGGCATAGATGCATTCTTCAGTCCGTTTGTTCTCATGACAAAAAAAAGAATACATGTACGATTATGAATGACTCGGGTCAAGTTGGAAATATGCGTAAAAAATTAATGTAAATTAAAACAATAAATATGAAAAACAATTGTTTGGTACATACTGCACAATTCTCTTTGAATTTTCAACATTTTCTACGTCACGAAATTCTTTTTCGTGTGACACTTACGATATCGCTTGCTTCCATTATTTGTAGAAGTTGGCATACTTTCTACGTGTTGATCGACAATCTTATTTCAGACAATTGTCTGAAACCACCAAGGAATTCATCCTCATAATGAATTTATCATTGTTACTATGTTTTGTACTGTTCTCCTATGTAAAGAACGTATCAATACAGTTTTCAATAGACTGAAATGTGGAACTACACACACCTTCCTCAAGTCTGTTATATTGGTAAAAAAAAATACGCAAAGTTAAGAATTTTTACTACGTAAATGATAACTGGTATCCAACGACAATTTTCCTTTCATCTTATATAACTTACTATATTTTTATTGATGACTTCATGACTGGTTTCGCTCGCTGTATATATCTATTTGAGAAATCCCTAATGACTTTCAAAACATCATCCTGTATTTCAATCAACATTCGAAAGTCAGACTCGACCGTATTAAATCGACACATCTCTTCTATCATTATGATATCTATTATGTAGTTATTTCTCTATTCCAATATTCAAAAATGTATTACGATCGTTTAAAGTCCAAGAAAGACTTTAGAACATTCTAGAATGATTTAAAAGAATCTAAGCATAGCTTTTATTGTGGCGCAGAATCTTTTTGTATTGCCGAGGTACTATAGGAAAACAGTATTGTGCCTGCAATTAAAATAGACTAGTGGGGAGAGCCCGTTGAATAGAACTCAGATGCACACCCACTTAGATCGATACCAAAACCTTTTGTTTATCGAGTCTTGATTCCGAAATTTTTTATTGCCCAGATCTACATCTAATCTCACAGAACTTACTCTAAATATAATTGCTAACGATGACATGATTTTTATATGATCACTGTCAGGATTACCTGAGAGATGTATAGTCGTTGAATACATATAATGGGAAAAAAACGTCTCGAATCTTCAGACCGACTATTAGAATTAGATAAAAGAACACTTCACTGTACTATGGTGGAGATTCACGCTATTACAGTCGATTTCTGTGTGCTACATCCATTTATTCAATAAACTTTGTCTATAAATTACTTCCATCAACACTTTGTTAGTAAAACTGAATTTTCTATCGAATGAAGAAAGATTTTTGCTTGATTCTTTTTTGAGATGTTACGCTACTTATAAGGTTAAAAAAGGATCAAATTTCTATCACAAACGGTTTATTTTTCATTGAGCTATAGCAATAACAAAATTGAAATGTCATTCTACAACTTGTCTAAACAAGTTTTTTAACTGTGTATAAAATTTTTCTACTAACGGAGTTTATGAAATAAGCTTCTTTTTCTTGTCAAAATGTTTTCCCTTTATTTTTCTCTGATACCTAATCAAATTTGTTCAAACGAAATACTAATGATATCAATGTCATCCTACATAAAAATTGAAAGTGTCTTAACACGCTTTGTCGATAGTCTTTCATTCGTAAAACTTTGTGTGAAGCAAAAGATGACAACATATTCTGAAAGCGCTTGAACAGCTCTACAATTCTAGCTAAAAAATAATATGGAAAAAATTAGCAATGGAATATAGAAAAATTTGGTCATCTTCTTGAGGGTGGTATTACAAGCTAGATATTTGACACTATTGCTACGATTTCTCATAGATTAAATCAGATGGCAATTTGATTTTTTTCAGAGTTGAATGGCTATCTATAGATCAATAAAACAAAAACAAAATTATAAAAATCGATTGAATAAAACTCGGCTTATAGGTATTTTTCTTTGTGACATTGAACGGTACGGTTTACGTGCTCTTCACTCGCACAAGACAAGATTTTTACTCGGTCAACATATTAAAATTCATATACATATGTTTTCTATATTTAGAATACATACTTATGTGTACGAATAATTGAATGACTCACAGTTGAGGAATATTCTTATATTGTAGATGGCGAACGTCGAATAAGAAAGGAAGAAAGAAATAGTAAAAAGCGACACTATCTCTTTCTTTTCTCTGTTTTAACATAGCGCTTATCCGTTAAGAGACAACACATTAGAGTTTTCTATTCACATAAAAAATCGACAAGAATAAATCTGAATTAAAAGAACCAAATACGTTGAGCCACATAGATACCATTTCAACTTGGCAGAATTTTTTGTTTCAGTTGATCATCTTCTAATATACTTCTATCTGCTTGCAATGTGCATCATATTTATCGAATCGTTTATATTCAGCGAACATATTTTTCATTGATCATCATGTTGATTCTTTCACTATTTTATTATTCATGAAAGACAGATTAAGATTCAATCCATTATTTGAAATTTCTCTTCCAAAACAATACATTTCATCAATATTGTGACTATCGATAAAATGAAATATATTGTTCGAATCTTTGGTATCTACACTGGTTCATTCCAAGAATTTTGATGTCAAATTTCATGTGTATAATTTCTCTCTTTTCGATTATTTTCATCATTACACATATTAGCAATAGAAGTGAAAAGAAAATTGCAGCAAAGACGGGGTATAAGAAAACGAATTGAGACGCATTATGGGCTAATAATATCTGTTCAAATTTTTACATAAACAAAATTCAATGGTAGCATGATTTTGAAGACTTTTATTGATAGAATTGACATTGATCATCAGAATTCGAATCAAAAGTTTCGTTTGAAAAATGAGAGAAATATATGCATGATGTTTTATTCAATAGTAACACTAATACATGCCTTTCATACCAGTTCGAACACGTGACATGCTGAATAAGAGTATGGGTGTGGGTGTTTTCTCTAAATTACACCTACACTCACACCGCCCACCCACACCCAGATTATTAATATTCTTCGGAATATACTTTGTAAATAATTTAACTGTTCATTGATGTCATCAGTAACATATGCAAAATAAGGCATAGCTATACATTTTTTGGTCTATTTTACTAGAGTTGATAGCCAAAAGTGACAAAATCAATGGTTATATATAGCTCTCTCGGATTGCAATATCGTTAAAAATCCAATGTTTCCTATATGATTTTTCATAATTATCCTAATTGTTTTTCTAGTTTCTAGCTGTGTCGGGAAAAATGCTTTATGCCACTAGATTCAGCTCGTCGAGCTCTACAAACTAGGATATCTCCCATTCGAAACGGTGATTCACATTTAGGGACCTTCCCTCGTAAGTGTCTTATTACATTTTCGAAGAATATTCACATGTTATTTCTGTTCAAGAATTTTTTTATCAGAAACTTTTTTTCTTATTGTAAGTGTTGATAAATCCAAATTATAATCAATTATTTTACTAGTAACGATGATATATACTTTATGTTCTAATAATTGAGCCATTTGTTCAGCTTGACTTTGACAACATATATCAACAATAACTTTTACACTTAATTTAGCAACTTATTGGAATTAGATTGAATTCAAACAATATTGTCATGCACATTTGAAAGAAGTCGCGAGTTCTTCTTTATTGAAGTTATAAAATCAATTTTCCGTTACATTCAGCAAATCTACATCGTTTCTGAATAATTTGACTCATATGTTTTGTATTTTGATTTTTTACTATACTTCTCGCACATCGTTTTCATGGCTACACACTATTGCAAATCTTGAATAAATATACGTAGTCTATGCGTAAAAGAAAAAAAAATTGATATCGAAACGTTAACGATCTTTCAGATTCGCCTAGTCCTAAAAATCGATTTGTTTTTAAGGAATGAGCTCCCAAACAGACTCTGTTTCACTCTGTCTCTAATAAGGATACAAAAAGGCTACAAGAAAAACAATACAGTGAAAAGGCATAGAAACACATAAAAGAAAAACATACAAAAGCCGAATGTAGGTGGTATAATATAAATGTATCTATTTAATATGCTGGAGATCTTTTCGGATTATTGAGTAGAAGTCAAGAAAAGATCATGATCTGAATAGAATTGA